CCCCCCCACCTCTTACCCTCCATCCTCCATCCTGCTTAGCACCCCAGCTGCCTGCTCCCCCCCACCTCTTACCCTCCATCCTCCAACCTGCTTAGCACCCCAGAACTGCATGCCCATTCCCCATGCTCCACCCTGCACTGCGTGCCCCCTGCCCTTCACCCCTTCCTTACACTCCCTCTGCTCCGCATGTCCCTTCCCCTGTGCTATCCCTGCTGCCCTTTCCCCTGTGATGCTCCCTAGACCGTGTGCCCCTTCCCTGTGCTCCCCCACCATACTACATGCTCGCTTCCCCCATACTCTCCCATTGCTCTATGAACCTCCTACTTGCCACATGAGCCACTCTGACCCCATCTGTAGCTGCAGCAGTTGCCTGCCTGGCCCATACTCAAATCTAAGACAAGGGGTTTTTTCTTTGTGCTAAATGAGGGGGGAAATGTCTTTGATTTGAGTAAACATGATATTGGATTCCCTGCTTGTAAAAGGGAGTGTTGCTAAAATATTTACCCTTTTGTTTCCAGAAAAGAGTGACCATGACTTCAGTCATTTTGAAATCTACGACAGATTTTATTGTTATAGAGGTTCTAAAAAACCTTCCCAAAGGAATAAATTTAATGAAGAGTTCTATTTTGTTGCAGCACTTACACTAAAATTTGAGTGGAGAAATATGCTTTTCATAACTCACATCTATTTTATGTTCCTGCTATCCATCATTCTGCTTACCTGGATCTGTTCCTGTCAGTCTGGTGAATCATTAACATAAACATTTCCAAGCTTCTGTACTGTCTGGTCCTTGCCCACAACCCTGGGAAAAAAGGCAGTTTTTGAAATCTTAAGATAATTTAGGGAAACATAGGCCCTCACTTTAAAGAAATGGAATGTGTATAAAGATCTCATATATCAAAAATACCCTATGAGTTGTGCAACAAGAATACAAACATTCCAAACCTAATAACAGCTGCAATCAACCTTCAAGTTGTTCAGGTTTTAGCCATAAAACTGTCACTGAAACCCTTACCCCATTGCGTTTAAAACATAAAGGATTTTGTTTTTAAAATGAGGAATTATATCATTCTAATTTTATTTTCTGGACTATTCAAGTTATAGGAAGTGGGTTTTTTCTGTAAATGGAGTCCTTTTGCAGATTTGCACTGTGTGCAAAAATGCCATATTTCTCCATCAGAAAACTATCCCTGGAGTGGTGTGGATAACAAAAGCAGAATGCTAAATGTTTTTTCTTGTTAATTTGCTTTTTATTGAATTATATACTACTTTAAACAAAGCATAATCACCCCAAGTACAACAGCAATACTAGGTCCTCCTAATTCTTTAACATTACTAACTCTTTGTACATGACAACTACAAAATCAGGCTAATAATGTTCAGATAATTACCCCAGAACAATCAATAATATTAGAGAAGTCCCATTTATATCAAACACAAAAACCTTCATTAATGTTAAAAAAAAACAAAACTTCCAGGGAATATGACTAAATGTTGGCCAGAACTCAATATGAAGAATTCAGGAATCAAGATGAGGTTTTTATTACTTGAGATTGCCTCCGGAATCACAGGGGAGAGCCTAAACACACAAAGTTCGCTATAATGCATCTTATGCCCTCTAGCTGTAACAATTTATTTTGTGCATTTCTTGGAGAATTTATACGTCTCCAAGCAGCGCTCTAGGGAGCTTTTCATCAGTGGCATTGCTGACCTAATAACAAGGGATCCAAGTAATAGCAACTTTTATGTACATGTTATGTGTTATTCCCACAGATATGGGGATTGATTTTCTGGAGAAAGGAGGAGGCAAGGGGTAAATGTGCTCTCATAATAGGTTTACACTTTACTGATTAGTTTTGAATGTCCGCTTTCTCTGCCTGCTGGCTTGAGTATTGTCAAAAAGAACCATCCAAGCTACATGGTGAGTGAATGAGACTCATTTTAAAGCAGGGGGTTCCTGTGCTTTATTTATTCTTCTTAAGTACTCTTTATTGCTAGGCCAGACTGACCAAAAGGGAGGTAAAAATAAGAGTTTTTAAGTTGTAATTCCTTTTTTCATAAGGATGTTTCACTGAGCTGAGTTTAATATCCAGTACCATAACTTGGGGTGAGTGAGAGGGGCACCAGTCCTGGACACCAACTTAGTAGGGGCATTGGCATTGCCCCCCCCCCCC